TTGACCACTGAGCCACATCCCCAGCCCTATTTCGTATTTTATTTAGAGACAGGGTCTCATTGAGTTGTTTAGCACCAAGCCACTGGGATTACAGGAGTGAGCCACTGTGCCCTGCCAGCTAATACATTTTTAAAACAGGAAAAGGATCATACAGTGTTTGCTCTATAATATGCTTTTGTCATTTAGCCAAATATCATGACATCTTTCCACACCCTGTGAGCACCTCCTACACCAGCAGCCATCCCTCCATATATCAGTGTCCCCTCTCTCCCTCTGTTCTCCTTGGTTAACACCTTCCCTTCCACACAAAAACATGTCTGATTCCCAAGCAGAAGAAAAGTCAACCAAAGCTTTGTTGAAATTAGATGTACCTTCTATCCACTCCTTCTCTTCTTACATAGGAATCCTCAAACCATCTACATTTGCTGAATTCATTCCTCTCCTGTTCTGTCTATTACCACCTGGCTTTTCCCAACGCTATGCTTACTTGGCCCACCCAGAAGCCTCCTCGGTTTCTCCTTGTCAAGCCCATTGGCCAAATCAGTCCCCTACATTGATGCCATTTAACCACATGGATCCTTTTCACTGTTACTATCTCCTTGTGGAGTGTTTTAATGCCCAGGAAAGGCTACGACACACACACACACACACACACACACACACACACACACACACAAATCATTTTGTAGACTTCTTTGAAATTGAATTCTGTGAATTAGGTTTTCAGAATTTAGTAAGCAGATTTGAGACAGGCCTTATATCTGCAGTTTTCATTGTTTTCTTCCGGCAACAAGGGAGGGAGAACATGGAGTTTTCTCCCAGCAATTTCAAAATCTGTTCATTTTTGTTTTAAATCTTCCAAGAGTGAGGGTATTTTCAGGGAAAAAAAAGGGAAAGCTCATCACAAGCAGACCCTTGGAAAATTCTAAAGGACATTTTAAGCAGAAGGAAAAGTAACTCCAGATAGAATATCTGAGACAGAAGTAGTAACGAAGAGCAAAGCAGTGGGAAGCATCTGGAAGGCAGAGATCAAGTGAAGGCATCTTCCTGCTGCGTTGGCTTTTTTCTTCTGGCAGTCTGGTCAGGGAGAAGTGGAAGTTTCCTGACATAGTCCATGTTCATTCTCCAGCTTCCTTCAGTGAGAGCAGACTGACAACTGAGGTGACTGGCAATGGCTTTTGATCGCTAAGTCACATGACAGCTAGACAGC